GATCGCATGTTTCATTTGCCAGACACTGAGTAATGCACATTACCATCTGCATAGCAAAGTAAAGCTGCCCGGGTTTGTTCATTCTAGATTTTTTCACTTGGCAGTTAGCACTCATTGATCTTGCTGCTGTAGCCTGTAAGTAATATTTCAATATTCATACCAATACATCAATACGCGTTCATCAGCCAACATTTTCTGGCTTGATACTGCGCGTCTTCTTCAGTACTGATCTCCTGCAATATTATAGCTTGTTTTCGGCCAATAGGCTCTTTTAATTTTACTTTTTCTTGCTGATAAGTGAGCCAGATCAACTTGAACTTGCATTTATCAACCAACATTTCCTAACTTCAACCTGATGTTACTCATGACTCACAACTGAGGACTCTTAGCCTCCTGTATACATCAACTTGGGATTGTTTTCAGTCAAAATGCTTCTTTTAATATGATATAATTCAGTCACAAGAGATTCAAAACTTACAACAAAACGACATTGACATACAAGAGTTCGAAAACCATCAGATAAGGCCTTGGAACGGAGCAGAACGGAGCCAACTGTGTGGTGCTCCATTTGTTTGTTTACAATAATTGTAGTGCTGATGTATTGTTTTAGGACTCTAGCGGTCGGCTCATAAAAAACTGAAACATTTTCACAAAATCTGTAAGGCAATTAATATTTCTCTGAAAGAACTTAAATATTCAAAAGCGAAACACCATGAAATACAGGAATCAGAACGAAAAAGTAACCCGAAAATCCAGCCTAATAACCGGCTCCTAAAACTGCGGCAAAATCAGCACTTTTCCCCGCAACTCGTTGTCCAGACGTAAATATGCTAGAATGAATCGAAAACTCGAAATATTTTATTAGCAAAAATGACGTATTTGGTAGACTTGCTTTGGGAGACATTGATTAAAGTTCCGTCAAAATATTTCAATATTTGGTGTGAATCAGAAGTAATTATGATAATCATAAACAACTTAATGCTTTGAACTATTTTATTTAATTGAATTTGTCAATGCTTTTTCATATGACTTCGTGATTCTTATGAATTTTCTTCTTTTCAATGACGTCAGCGAATTATTAAATGAGCCAATCGGGTGCTATGATTGTACGTGACCTTGTAAACGAAAGTTGTGAGTGGTAAAAAGCTACAAGCTCTTGTCTTGAATTTGTGAGGCGTTGGTTTCTTGATGTATGCATGCTGGCTCTCTCTATCGCCTGGATAAAAATAGGCCCCGCCCATCCCAATCAGCTGCTGCATGACGAGTTGATGACGACAACCACTACTTACCAGCAACCAATCTAGGGATAGCGTACGTGACAGTAATGGTGCAGCGGTTGCAAAATATTACATTGTTATTCAAACGGTTTTTGCTTTTAGGGCCTTGTTCGATGAGGATGAGGTTAGATTAGATGAGGTGTTGATGAAGGCAGGTATTTTTTTTTTAAATTTTGACAATTTTTTGCCCTTGTTTTGAACCCGGGACCCGGGACCACCTGAAGTCTAAACCTTATTTTATATAACATGTCAATGCTGATGCTGTATTGAAATGTGAAATTTAGACAATGGTAATAGGAATAATGAATAGCAATTTCACCAACAACATTTTAATCTCTAGGAAGTGCAATTAAAATTAAAATCACTGTCTGCCACACTGCTTCATCCTGGTCATGCAACCAACATTCATGGGTGGTGTTTCACGGCAGAGCACGCACTGCAGTGCTCAGCACTGCAGTGCGCACTGGTGCTCAGCACTGCAGTGCGCACTGGTGCTCAGCACTGCAGTGCGCACTGGTGCTCAGCACTGCAGTGCGCACTGCAGCGCACTGCAGTGCGCTGCAGTGCTGAGCGCTGCGTGTGTCAGAGCATTGGGTTTCCATGGCAGTGTCAACAAACTTCACTGTGACGCCAAGCTGTGACAGCATCCCAGAACGCTGCACGCTGCGGTACCAGCACCAGCAGCATGCTAGCAGCATTTGAACTCAAACCTCTGTTCTTAGTACGGTTTTTCAGAACCTCTCACTCTGTTCCAAACGCGATTGATCATAAACTAAGAGATCACATGCAACGTCATTTGAGTGATGCTATGGTATGCCGTAGCTACCAGTGCACACAGTGTCTGGATGGTGAAACAGGGCCATTATTAATCACATTTGCTTTGCTTTGTTTCAGCAGAAACCTGTCTGCACATGGGAGGAGCGCAACAAAAGCCCATCAAGTTCATGCATGGCAGTGGATCTGAACAGGAGAAAACCAGAAAGAACATGGATGCTTGTAGATTGCAGTTGTACACTGCTGTTAAAACCTGATGTGCGTGGCTGGCATTGCTCCTGGCAAGAACCACCTGCAAGTGATGAGATGGTGCCTCAGTCGTTGAGTGTGCTGCAGTGTGAGAGGTGCCCTGATCTCTACTTTGTGATGGGTTTCCATTGGAGGTTCAACTGAGAAGTGAGAACTGACTGTGACCATGCTTGAGCATGCCAGTGGAGCTTTACATGCTTAGGGCAGCTTTTGAACAGATGCTGACCATGGCATGTCCCATCCAGTTATCACGTGCACAGAATGGTGGGGGGAGGGCAACTCTGGGCTCTTAAGTCAGCCCTACTGCACAGGGGGTACGATGGCCGCTTACGTTTGGTGTGTCCTGCACTGCATTATCAAGCCCAGTCTGCGCCACAGGCAATGGGTCGGGCTGCACTATATTAAAGGCAGACTATCTTGCAAAGGAGGCTGGCATCCTCTCCCATAATGACACACCAATTGGCAATCATCGCTGCGATGATCACGAGGGTGTCCGCTTATCTAACATGGTGAGGTGGAGAGCCAGTTCAAGCTGGCCTGAGGGATGGTTTTACTTCATCTGAGGCCCCCTTTCCCCGCCTGCCAGGTCCGGTCAAACGACCGCTTCACAGTGAACGACTTGCAGTGGATGCCGTCCCACAGCGCAACGAGCTCGCCGACCAGAGGCGGCGGCCAAGAGGCGGCCGCGCTCCCCCAGTCGACGGTCCCGGTGGACGTCGGCAACGCCCACCGCGCGACCATCAGATCGGCTCGCGACAGCGCCGTCGCCGACTGACCGCATGACTGGTATCTGTTCTTGATGTGGGACCGACTGCCACCGCCGGTCGCGGAAGGGCATCGCTCATCGGCCATCGACGTCCGCCAGCTTCGCGTGGGTCACTGTTCGGGCTGCCACCAATACACCGAATCGGATGGAACCCTGTCGGCGAATGCCGGCGGTGCCCCGACATCGACTGCGCGGCGGCCAGTGCATCGCGTGCCGGGAGGAGGCTGGCACCCCCGATCGGTCATTGGTCACAAACCGTGTCCCAGCTCATGACTGCATCCAGCGCAGCTCTGTGAGATGTTCTGCAGCTGCTGCAGTCTGCCGCGTGTGTTGAAAGAAGAATGAACATGAAAAACCTCAAAACTTTATGCCTATTCGTAATTGACCAGTATTGGAATAAGTTTGGATTTTGAGAATTTGTGTCCCTGTGCTTGTGCCTGTGTGGAAAGGCATGCTTTACGGTGTACCATCTCAATGTCAAATCCCGGCTGCGCTGTGCGGATTTGTGCGGCTGCTGACAGGCCACCTGAGTGCCAACGTATGTGCGAATCCGCGAATACGTTGTGTTTCGTCAGTCGGTATCGTTCTGAAAATATTGACTGCAATAGGCTATATAGCGTATGACGGTTCAGCCCAGCAGTAATAACTGACCATTGATTGGGCGAATTTTGTGTGGTGGTTCGCTAATACATAACCTAAAGAGTGTTTTGCCGGAATCGTTTAGTAGCAGAACTGACCGGAATATCAGTAGAATGCAACGGTTTGAATCGTTAATTTGTTGAAACGATTGTTCTCTGAGACCACTGTGTAACTTTTGACCTGAGAATCACCAATTATAACGACAATGGGGAAGCAGTAGGCATTGTAGAGTGTACTTGTAGGCAACACTATATAGTTGGCACACTTACGGAAGCACACGACTTACGCAGTGGACATCTGCATCATGCATGTTAAGGTTTACTGGGAAGAGTGAGAAATTAGTCAGAATATAACTGACTAAGGAAAATAGGCGATATCTCCTATTGAGCTGGGGCGGAGAGGGGGAGGGGACGTGTGGTCAGCTATGCCAATAATTCATTCTCTTTATGCAGTTGTGTAAAAGGGCGTCCGTTTTTGGGTGAGACCTTCCCCATCGGCCATTTCCAAGTTAAATCGTGGTGGAGAGTCTGGAGACCTCAGCCTCGGTAGTCGGTACCCTGCGCGCTGCGCCACCTTGCGAAACATAAAGCAGCCGTCCTGACATCTACAGGCGTGACTTTTCATGAAAGCGCGGATGTGTTCGCGCTTATGCGAAGAAAATTCTTCCGAGTATGGTTGATAATGAGATTAATTGTTGTCATTTATTTATTAATTCATTGGCAAAAGTACCCTAATAAATCGGTAAAGTAGCTTGAACTGTATCGTATTTCCTTGGAAAAAAATGACGAACTCATCCTAAGACATCCAGATTATTGGATGCGTTCGTCAGTTGTAAGTAGTTCAAGTTTTTGGGAAAATTTGCTTGTGGAAAATCATAATATTTCAAAGATATGCCTATTTTCGAATAATTTATGCATTTATCTGCATTGAAAAATGATTGTAAAGCAAAAGTGCAAAAAATTATTGTCAACTTATTTTCTCAAATCACGATTTACGAACGCACAAAACTCCAGCTTTTAATTTAGTGCGTGTGCGAATTGCGGTCAAGAAAAAATATTTTAACTGTCTATATTCCTCTCAAAACAATGAAGGATGAATGAGGAAAACGCTGTTTTGAACAATTGTATATTTATTTTTTCTTAATTAAGCAAAAGTACAAAATTTTCAACTATTATTACATTTGCTCTCACAAAACCCATCACTTTTTAGCATGACGTCATGTCAGCCAAATTTACTAGCGCCATCTCTGGAGAGCATCTTTCGAAACCTCCAGACGATAGACAGTAGGCGGAACTATGGTCATGAGTACCCAAATATAGGAACGTCCCCATTTTTGGGAACGGAGTTCCCAAATATGGGAACGGGCGTTCCCATTTATGAGAACGGAAGGCAATTTTTCGGCCGTTCTCCCACTAAAACTCAAAAGTGCATCACGTCTCAAAAAAGTGCACGCTGATTTAAGTATCTACTAAATCTCCATAAAGTTATCTTTAATCTGACCGTGGAACAAGGAAATTGACCGTGGAATGATATTTTTAATGATTTTTTGAAAATGACAGAATGGTGGAAATATGGGTTATACGACATTTAACATGCAATTTTAAGGAAAATGAAGCATTTTTTAGTTTGGGGTAAAGTATAATAATTTTCGCCTGGTTATGAACTTTCATACTATCGACACCAGATGCTGACAAATGCAAGCGAAAACGCGGACGGTCCCGAGGTAATATTGTTGACTTTTGTGTCGGGGCGGACGACCGCGTGGAACGTGAGTGAATTTACCGAGCTACTGTTGTAAACTCAGTTTAAGCGGTTGAAAATTATCCAGCTGCATTTTATCAGCCCGGAAAGACATATTTTATTTGGATGCTAGCTGTTTAGAGTTGTTTTATAAGGAGCGTCATGAGCGTGGTTTTTGTCTTCCGTGTTTCTAAGCGTGATCGTTTTGGGGGAATTTCTCTTATATAGCTCGCTCTGTGTGGCTTATTTATAATTTTTATGCTGATTTCGATAATTCCTCGTGCCCATCCTACCAGGCCTTTTGCCACTTACACTCATCAAGAAAGGAAAAAACTAGATTTTCATTGGGACTAGGTGTTTTGAGGGTGTAACATATTCAGCGTTCCCATTTTTGGATACTTCCTTGTACTCGTCAACTATCGGTGATAAACAGACAGGTGCTTGACATGTCTCCACTCTCAGCGCGGACGGTGGATATAGGTATGGAAGACCTTGTTGAACATCGCTGAGCGTTGTGAATTACGTAATCCTGCAGAGGGGGGCGTGCCCGCTGCGAGATCGACGGGAATAAAAGCGCAGAAGACCGGGCGAAACATGCGACGGTCTTGCCGGAAAGGTCATCTGATGATTGTTGCGTTAACAATAATTTGCGGCGTTGGACGTGATGCTTGTTAATGAAAAGAGCCCCTGAAAGGCGTCGGTGAAATCGTTCCCAATTTTGGGTACGCCGTTCCCATAATAAGGGACGCTTGCAGCGCCAGTGTACGAGAGCGTTCCCAAATTTGGGCTCGCGGCCCGGATGATGGACTGCTTTAGAAATAGGGGAACGATTTGAAACTACGATGGGCCTTACAATATCAAACTCTTTCCCAACAATATTGAGACAAATATCAGGCGGTTCACGATCGTTTTATATTTTTTTGGACGTCATTTAACGGTTCTTTTTCTTGTTTTAAATAATGCCTACATGGCGTTCCCATATTTGGGTTTATCGTTCCCAAACATGGGAACGAAAATGCGTTCCCGAAAATGGGTACGCTTGACCATAGTTCCGCCTACTGTAGAGAGAGCCTGCATGCTGTGTGTGTGTATGCTTTTTAGTTCTTTGCGTGTGTTATATCATGTATGGCCGTTTGTGTGTTCAATTGCTTCATGGGAGTAATTGGGTTAATATCTTGTACCTTGTACCTTGTAAAGTTAATTAAATTAATTATTAGGAAGTTGCTTAAACTTTTTATTTGCCTTTCTAATGGGTTGTTATTTTTGCTCTTTTATATGTCTGAATGTCGCTTTTATCCTACTCACAATCTTATTTTTATTCACTGGCATTTTACTGTAATATGGCCTGTTTTGTTAAGTAAGCGTATGACGAATGTTGCATGTATGACAAATGTTTGACTGGATATTCTGTCTTTTATTTTTTCAGGCTACCATTACCTAAATAGCATGAAAAAGGCAACTACAAAATGAGCCACAAGAGCTCAAGAGAGGTATGTATCAGTGTGATACTTTTCATCAGTAAAAAATTCAAATACATAAAAAATATGAGATCCTGACTGCATTGGTGCAAGTTGCAAGTTGTAAAAATGCCAAAATGCAACTGCGGATGCTGGAGATGCCTACTTAAAATCAAAGGTGTTTTGTCACATGAAATCAAGCAATTTGGTACCTATTTATATATCATCCACAGCATAAGAGCCTATCATCCTGACCTTAACATACATAGAGTTTTAGGCAGTGTTCCATTTTTCAGACTTTTTGGTGGCAAATCACACCTAATGGGGAAAATACTTTCATCCCTAAAATATGAATGGCCGACTTTACATCATCTCTGAAAAAAGTTTCATGTATTCCCAACAGCCAGTTTACATGTCACTTGACAGTTGATACACCCACATCCTTTTGTTTCACACCGTCAAGATTCTGACATGAAATCCTGGTTTATCAGTTGGCATACAAATTGGCATTACACCATTTTACAAATATACTTTGGTTATTTATTTCCCTTTTTCTCATCCTATGATTTTTTTCTTCATCAGCACACCCAACCAAAATCAAATTTTAGAACACTGGTTTTAGGTGCTAGTTAGTAGGCACTGATGTTACCAGAGGTTATTTCTCTGAATATCACCAATTTAAATTGGCACTTATTAAAAAAAGAAAACATTTAAGATTTTGCAAACAATTGATTAAGAAGTAATGCTTGAATATTGACATTTGTCATGAACATTTTGTTAAACACCTTATTTTTTACAGATGTAGTTCAACCTTTATGCTCATGTTGAGGAAATTTCAGCCTCAGATCAATAAGGCTGGTAAAGTCCTTGGTTATTTCTTTATGGGGCATAAGAGTGCACCAACAGGGAATGGTCATGTGACCAAGAACCAGTAGTCCTATTGTAGCTTATCAAGATAGGTGGGTGGGTTATGCCCCCTCTCCTTGCCCTCTTACCTGGCTGATGGCTCCTGGGCCATGTAGGGATGTAAGTGGCATTTGAAAGGGCATACAGAATGAGAGAACTCAAGTAGTTTTTTGGTCAGGGCAATGGTTGTATCACCAGAATTTATCAAAGGTTAGATTGTTCTGTTTTTTTTTTTATATTTGTGAACAAATTGGGTATTTGAACAAATCGACACATAGCTCATTTATTACCTAATACAAACAGAGCCCAGAACATTGAGGATAAAGACATTCAATAGGTGTGTTTTTGCCACGGCCAGGCATTGAGTTGTCAGATTTGATCTAATGCCAACAGGTTAGATCTACCCCAGGTCTCCAATACTTAGGTAGAGGAAAAACATTTTACATTCATGTTAAATGCTTTTTTCAATAGCCTTTTCGTCACTGATATTGCCTGAACATCATATTTCACGAGCATCGTGCTTCTCCGGAAACGTCTCGAATATTTCGGCCTTGAGACACTTAAAAAATAAAAATACAGGGTGGGGCAGAAAGATTTACCTCTTGATTTTCTTAAATATTTTGGCCCTGAACAAAGATATCGAATTGATTTCTGGCACATATATGCAGTAGCATGTTCACTTCTCAGCGACGGCATTATGACTCAATATGGTCACCTTTGTCCTTCACCACTGCCTCGAAACGTTCCTCTGCGGAGGGGCACGAGCGCCGCACGGTGTCCCCGCCAAGATTCGACGGTGCCGTCTCAAGGGCCAGCTTCAGGGCGGCGATTCTGCTGTGTGCTGCTGCACACACCCTCCTCTCCAAGATGGTCCAGATTGCGAAGTCCATCGGGTTCAGGTCTGGACTTGATGATGGCCGAATGTCTTTGTCCCAGAACCCAGGCATGTGGGTCTTCCACCACGGTTGAGCGATGTTGGCCGTTTGCGGCGGCGCACCGTCCTGGACGAAGACGTATTCGTCTCAGAACGACTGAGTGACCCAAGGCAAAACATGTTCCTCCAGCAGATGGGCTTAAACCTGTAAATTAACTTTTTCACAGCCTCCTTGATGAAGACCAAGGATCCTTTTGAGCCGTCGGATGCGACGGCAGCCCAAACCAAGACACCAGCACGCTTCTGGCGACGAAAAATGGTGCGAATAGCAGGATCAATGCTGGATGAACCATCTGCCAAAATTCTGAGTTTTGGGAGTGTCTCTGGCGCTCAAGCATGAACATGTTGTCATTGGACCAAAAGAATTGCCTTGTTACCGGCGCTCCTGATCCCCTCCAATGTCTTTTGGGTCCTGTGTAGCTGCTTTTCCCTGGATGCCGCCGAAATTAGGTGCCGATGTTGCACCCTGTATGAAATAAAGCCCAAGCCGTCGTTTATGATTCTCCTGGCGGTTCTGGGCGAAACACCGAGTTCCCTTGGCAGTTTGCGCATGCTTCGCCTAGAACTTGAAACACCTTCTTGTGCATGATATTAACCAGCTTTTTGAAACAGCTATCCCTTATTCTGCCTGGCATGGACTTCGTCGACACCAACCCTGTCTTTTTAAGTCATTTAATTACACTGCAAACAGTTTTTACGGCAACACCGAGCTGTTTGGCAACGCTTCAGGAGCTATGGCCACCCTACTTTAGCGACGCAATTTGGGCTCTCTTAGTCATCTTCGCCATAGCTCACCAACAAATATTACGAAATGCAAAAACGATCCTAATGTTGATACATGAGTCAGTGGGGAAGCTGCATGCAAAATTTTATCAAAATCCGTTCATAACTTTTTGAGTTATGGACTGAAAACAAACAGGTAAATCTTTCTGCCCCACCCTGTAAAGTTCATAACGTCATCGATACAGGTCGGTGCATACCGGTCGATCCGTTTGGTTGCGCCGAACATATGCCAGGTGTTTTACCCCGCGTTCGATGTCTCGGACGACGAAGATTCTACCGTTCTACGTCGTCCGGCCAATCCTGTTCTAGGTCAGCGGGGGCTCGGCTGCTTTTATGGAACGTGATTGGCCAAACGGCATAGAATGTTTGTCGTCCCAGAGACATCGAACGCGGGGTTATTGCTTCAACATGTCGTTCTCAAAAGTTACCATTAAAGACTGCTTGTGACTTTGATTTGAGATGACCTCAGCTGGTGTCATTTCTCACTGATTCGCCTGGGCGCAGTAGTCAGTACACTTCTCTTTGACTCATTAATGACTAATTTATGGCTTGGAAATTTTCATTTTGATGCTTTTTTCAAAACCCCACATCCGTTCTTATGTGAATTTCCGGGAAGCATGACATAATTCTTTTAAAAAGTGTCCAATCGTCTGATCCCTGATCAATATGTGTGTTCGTAGGCTTGTTCTGACTTCTGGCATTGCTTGATCTGCCAAAACAGCCAAATTTTAGAAAAACCGAGTGACTGTACGTTGTTGAAAGTTAATACCCATCTTGTCGGAAATTCACGGGAGAACAGATGTTGGGTTTAAAAAAAACGCGTCGATTTGTGCGTTTAAGTTGCATCATTAGGTACTACTGCCCGAAAAGTAGCGCGTAGTCAGTACCGTGATTTTTTTTTTGTTACTTGCGAAAAAAAAACGTAGGTTGCGTAAACAAAACTCGCCCCATGATGCTCCTCCTTGCTAAGTGCCCCAAGTAATGTCCTTTAGCAAAGTTTGCGTGCAACAAACAGATAAAGTTATTTAAAAAGATCAAGACACTGAATCTTATGATGGCCTATGGCTAGAGTAAGTATGTTCCATTTTTTACACAGCCTCTTTTGAACGACATATTCTGATTCTGACTTGTTGTTGACAGTGTTTTCCGATTAAAGGGACTATCCCACCTTCTAAAATGTTGTTAAAACCAGTTAAATTGTGTCCGACTTTATAGATTGGATGACCAGGAACATGGTTCTGGCATTTATTTTTCATTAAACATCTTAGGCTTCCCATATTCCAAACACAAACTTTCAAATATGTGACGTCACAGCTCAAAAGTACCTCCTTCCCCAGGCCACATTAGCTGATTCTTTTTACTCTGTAGGCACCACAACAAAGTTCAGACCAAGTTTTAAGCGATTTTTCAACGAACAAACCCATTTAAATCAGAATGACTAAACGAGGTGACGTCACACTAACGGTCGCTCCATGTTGAAGATAGGGCCTTGCACAAGGCCCATTTTCAAATGAAGGGAACGAATTTCTTCAACACCAAGAGGCCGCGGGGGTTGCAACCTAGATAGATAGTGGTTTCTGAACCTCGCCGCAACCTTGGCTATCTCAACTCAAACCCCATGTTAAAGGTGGGATAGTCCCTTTAAGTAAATTGCTACTCGGCGCCACTCTCCGTTTTGCCCGGCTGGGCGCGGCGGACCGTCGGAGTGTGCCGTCACAGCTTGGTGACGGACCGGTGTCGTGTGACACCGCCGGTGGTGGCGCGTGGCGACCGTGACCGTGATGTGACGCCCGTCCGCGCCCGCCGACAGGAGGTGTGGCAGCCGGGCGACAAGGTGGTGGCCCGCTACAACTTCACGGGCAGCTCGCATGAGGACCTGCCCTTCCAGAAGGCCGACCTGCTCACCATCGTCACGCCTACGCGCGACCCCAACTGGTACAAGGCCAGGAACTCTGAGCAGCGCCAGGGCCTCATCCCGGCCAACTATGTGGAGAAGCGGGCGTCCAGCGAGCACGGCGAGCGGCGCACCGCCGTCAAACTTAACGCCATGCCGTGAGTCAGATGTCGGGCCGGGCGGGGGCGGAGGAAGGACGTCCGCGGAGGGGAGGGGAGGGATAGTGTGACTCAGCGCGGACAGAACAATCACAGCGCCGCCACTGCAGCCGGCCGACAGGGACAACCCGAGCAGCTATCCTGCTCTTCCGCCCTCCGACAGCCACCGCTCAGTTCAGGTCCACGCCACGCAGGATATTTCCGTGGCCCTCCACTATCATTTGGGCATGCACGATATGTGTCATTGAGTCATTGTGTAAGCTTGTCCTGTGCCATGCGGCAAGTACCGCGTTATTGAAAGTGAATGGTTGAGAGATTGTCATTCATCCTATCCCCATGTTTGTTTGTGCTTTCATATTTACCAGGGTGAATAATAGTTTCAGCAACATAGGTTGTGCCTAACTATTTCCGAGGCCGCTGATGTCGATTTCTGACTGATTCTCCCGGTTTCAGCTGGTTTCACGGTAAGATAGCCCGTGAGAAGGCCGAGCAACTGCTGTCGCCGCGAGAGGACGGCCTGTTTCTGGTGCGGGAATCCACCAACTTCCCCGGCGACTACACGCTCTGCGTGTGCTTCCAGGGCAAGGTGGAGCACTACCGGGTCATATTCAAAGACAACCGGGTCACCATCGACGAGGAAGAGTTCTTCGAGAATCTCACCAAACTCGTCGAGGTAGGGCGAAATAGGAGACCGATCGCTAGGTGGCAATCTTAATCAAATCAAGTGTGACTAGTGGAGTCAACTATGCCTTGGGCGATTCCTGCACGGTAGCTCAAATTAAGTTAGTCTGACTAAAACTCTTTGTTTTGGTTTGTCTCTGAATTTGTCTCTGGCTGGCTCGGTATGTCCGTAATTTACCTCCGGCGGAAGTATCGGTTCGTTGTTAGGTCGAGGTGTGGGTTTGTTGTTTGCTCGGGATGTTCGTTTCTCGCCGCTGCGGCCAGCGCTCACTGTTCCGTGCAGTCGGTCAGTGCTCTTTACAGGCCGACTGATAACCTGCACGGCTATCCGTGTTGCTGTCACCCATCTGTGTCGATGTAGCGTCTATCAATATCAATGTCCGACTATCTGTCTGTCTGTTGTGCAGCACTACCACAAGGATGCGGACGGCCTGTGCACCCAGCTGAGGCGCAGCGTGCCCAAACAGGGCAAACAGGACTTCTCCGTGGATTCCAAGGCGTTCGAGACAGCCGGCTGGGTCATCAAAAAGGAGGATCTCAAGGTGCGACTCTGTGGGCCGTCTCGGCTGGTGCTGCGACTGGTGGAGATTGATTTTATAGATGTTTCCCCAGAAGTCTGAAAGAGACTGAGATAGCAAGTTGTGGTTTAGTTGGTCACATTGCAGGACATTACTACTTCGATTTAATGCATCCTAACTGTGAAGTGATTTAGCTGTAGATGACATATGCAACTGAGCCCCAGTGCCGGCTCCCGGGTCGGCCGGGGCGCTTTTATTGGCTGAAAACATTTACTCGTCTTCATTTATTAATCCTCCCCGATGCTTGTGTGGTTCCAGCGATTCAGGATTTCAAAGGTAGGCCACTCATCTACATGTGCCTCCCTCACTTTGATGTAACCTTACCGGCTGGTCTCCCCATAACTCTTTGAAACCGTTAACCCTCCTGAAGATCCCTGCCCTCACTCTGACCCCAGTTGACCTCCCGTTTCCCCCGCCGCCTCGTCAGCTCGGCGAGCCGATCGGGAAGGGTGAGTTCGGTGACGTGCGACTGGGCACGCTGCGGAACCACGAGAGTGTGGCGGTGAAGACGCTAAAGGACAGCAGTCGGCCGGTGCAGCAGTTCCTGGCCGAGGCGTCCGTCATGACCTCGCTGCGGCACCCCAACCTGGTGCAGCTGATCGGCGTCGTGTTCGACGAGGGCGTCATCTACCAGGTACAGGAGGGTTTGAGAGGTGGTCACGTGGGGTTATCTCACACTAACTACGGGCAGACGTCATATAGGGGTCATCTGCTAGGTACGGATAGGACATTCCTCCATTCATTTGTTTATCCATCCACTTAAGCATTTATTCACCCAATTATTCATTCATTCATTCATTGATCATAAAATGTATCCATCCAATCGATCCATTTCTTCATTCATTCATTCATTCATTTATTCATTCATTCATTCATTCATTCATTCATTCACCTATTCATTCACCAAAATATTTCTGACCGATGCAGCGGCCGTTGAGCCTTGGTTGAGCCCTCTTTCTGCTCCGCGGTGAATGTTACGTGCTTCTCGGCTCGTCGACTGCGACCGTTCAAACACGGACTGATGTCGACTTTGTGTCTATTTACACTGCTGTCGGGATGTTTTGCTCACCTTTGCACCGTGCACGGAGAGCTGATGCACATTTCTGTGCGTGTTAGGGGGATGCGGTACGGCATCAGACGCCCAGGCCACTGATGGGTATCGCTGCACAATTGGCGTGAGCTGTCCGACTGGTCGCTGGGTCGGTGGTAGCGATGTGTGACGCCGCGGAGGCGCTAGCGTGTCACAATATCTGTGTGACGTCATAGTAACTGCTTAACATTACCGTGCCGCGTGTGCTGGCCAGGTGATGGAGTACATGGTGAAGGGCAGTCTGCTCGAGTACCTGCGCTCCCGCGGCCGGCTGCACGTCTCCAAACTGGACCAGATAAAATTCGCCTGGTGAGTGGCCGACTGTTGTGCTGGGCCGGCTAACATGGGACCCAACGCCCAGCGATGGCATCTGCTGCCTAGTAAATATACAATGGCATATATTTTGGAGAGGGTCCTCTGCGTTTGATTTTCGTTTGTTTTCTTCAAGCGATATTTCATGACGCATTCATTTTCAAATACCTATGTCTCTGCCGAGTCGTGTGCTGTGAGTGTGGACTTGTGGCTGACCCGCTGACTGGCCATCCTTACCCACTGAACCATTGACTGACCACTGACCCGAGCGCTGACCCCGTCCTGCAGTGACACGTGCGCCGGCATGGCCTACCTGGAGTCGAAAAGGTTGGTTCACCGCGACCTGGCCGCGCGGAACGTGCTCATATCCGAGTCGGAGACGGCCAAAATCTCCGACTTCGGCCTGGCGAGGGAGGAGCAGTTCAACCAGGAGGGCGGCAAGTTCCCCATCAAGTGGACGGCGCCAGAGGCTCTCAAAGACAGCGTGAGTGGCGAGCAGGCGCTGACTGCTGCGATGGGGTTCCTGTGTACTGCGATAGGAAACCCGGCGTGCAAAACTCGTCTGACTCATTCGCTGTTCTTAGTGAATGCACTCGCTCGATAGTCACTGTGTTTATTGTAGTCTGTTTACATTTCCCTTCTGATCCGAGATACGTCGATGCACTTCGTCAGTTCGACGATAGGCTGGTTGAACATTTCATTTGTGGTCGCTGCCGTGTACTGATACTCGTGTACTGAATCTGATGACTGAGTCTCGCTCTTCACAATGAACCGTCGCTGATCTCTAATTGTCCCGTGTCTGCAGAAATTCTTCTCCAACAAGTCGGACATGTGGAGTTTCGGCGTGTTGCTCTGGGAGATCTACTCGTTCGGCCGGGTGCCGTACCCGCGCATACCGCTCACTGAGGTGGTCCGGTATGTGGCCAGCGGCTACCGCATGGAGGCGCCCGAGTGGTGCCCACCTGAGGTCTACCAGATCATGAAGGAGGTGGGTGACACGACCTCCCAGCGGGACAGACGTGTGCTTGTGTCAGAGGTAGATAGGGAAAATTGTACAGTGGCAGGATCAATGTACCCAATGAGGGTTTGTTTCAATTCGGCCTTATTTATCATACTGTGATAATAATTGCATCGTGACAGGCGTCGCTGATGCGGTGAATGGGTCGTCTCCCAGCGTGTCTCCTGCTTTTAATTTTAGTTTCTCCTTATGTAAAAAATATACGAGTTTGTGATGGGTAAGCAGGTTGAATAGGTTGATAGCGGTGCAGTGTCCACCATTACAGTGGTCGTCAGCAAGAAGGCTGTCAGACTGCACACCAGTCGGGCCCGTCTAGGCCCGACCTGACCGTGCTGCGCCCTCTGCCCACAGGCCTGGAGCGCCAACCCTGACGACCGCCCCACGTTCCGGGCCGTGGAGACGCGTCTCAAACAGATCAAAGCCACGCTAAACAGCTGAGTAGCGCCGCCTTCCGCCAGACCGACTGGAGACACCACGGAGAGAGGAGCGTGAGTGACCAGCGCCGACAGCCACACCTCCATACGCGCCGCCGTCCGGGCCCGGCCCGCCCGCTCCCCCGCCTCGCATCGCGCCACCCCGTCTCACCCCGCCTGTGATGCGCACTGTCCCTCCCCCGCGCTCCGCGTGCCCCCTGCCGGACGAGCGACCCCCGGCCCGGCCCGGTGGCAGGCGCCTTCTGAAGCTGTGCCTACGCTTCCGGACCGCGCCGCACGGACACAAAATGGCGGTCTTTATTACTATTTTGACATTGTTAATTAGGTACTTATATACGATAGCGACGATAAAGTGCTCTGTACAGAGGGTCACGCTATTGCGGGCCGACGTATGTTAGAGAGACGGAAAGCAGTGTGATCCGCACGAAAGCTATTAGGCCGTTTACATACTGCTACTGGCGCGCAGTGAGTGTACGCTCCCAGTGGACGTTTTGTTGGTGTCTGTTAACTGGGTGGAGATTATGCCGGTCCGCTGAGTGTTTTGTATAGGGTTTTAAACGTTCCGAAGTTGTGTCGGTGCGCCGCATGTTTATGACGAGTGTTTTATTGGCGTGTCGCCCTCGGCAGTAAGTCTCGCCCTATTTTTGAGTATGTCGTCTGTGCGGCTCGAAGGCTCGATATTCTCGACAGGGGACGTTTCCTCTGTTGAAGACGCCAGCCTCGACGTAGGGTCTTGCCCTCCCTGGAAGGCGCTGCCATTTCTAGAGACTGACATCCTCCATGGAGAGCGCTGTCCTTTGTAGTGCACGTCGATATCCTATGGGCACCGCACTTGCTGGATAGGACGACCCCTGCCGTACATGTCTCATTTTCTCATGCCCTGACTGATGAATGTCGCTCTCTGCTGGATGCTGGTGATCGTTTGACAGACGTCATCTACGGCTTGCCCTGTGCGACTGCCCAACCGGACAACCCACTGCTCCTCCGCGCTAGTACCGGGCCTTCGCGGCGACCGGGGCACCTGTCTGTGTGTGGAGGGCGTGGGAACGGCCACCGCCCCGCTTTGTACTGGCCAAAGAGCGACGTCGGACGTTTGTATGTCCGGGTGAGCGTGACCGTGTATGTGACAAGACAGTGCGGATTCTGATCGAATATCTCCGCCCAGTGTGTGTGATTTGTCGAAGCTGGTGGTGACAGCGCCCGAAATGTGACGCGGAAGGATATGAACTACTGGTCAGCGTGGACGGGAAGCCGGCGAAGAGAATGACACGCCTGTGTGTGACGTGACAGTGTGACGCGCTGTGACGTGACAGTGTGACTCCGCTATGTTGTGACAGTGACGCGCTCGCCAGCAGACTGCCTGGGCTGCCTGCGCCCGTGGAGGGCCAGCAGCAGCAGCGGTGACTGTCTCCGTGTCGCCCTCTGTGGCTCACTGAACAGTCGCAGGCACAGCTCCGTCGTGAGTGAGAGGACCGGAGAGCAGCATCCCCGTGTGTGACTGGACGCGGCAGTGAGCGAACCACACTGCCGTGTTATTCCATGCCGCTCGACTGGCGACGGGCTCGTCTACTGGGCTCGGAAGGGTGAACTGCGTCTGAACGCTTTTATACACTTGGACCGACTGTTCTGGCACTGCCCCGCGCCAGGGGCCGTGCGACAAATACAGTAGAATGCGACATATGTCTGGTTTAGTGTTATTTTTCAATGGATGAGCGATATGGCGTGCTTTCGCTCGCCGACCGTGCATTTGACGCGCATTTCGTATGATAGTGCCACTTATGGGCATTGTTCGTGTTGGAAATGGGGTTATATAACACACAATGTTATTTTTTCCACGACCGACGAAACTGCCTGCTGATGCTCGAGTCTCGTGCTCGACTTCTGCTCCTTGGCTGCCCAGCGTTTGAGGCGCAGTTTCGCCCTTAGGCGCAGAGCCACCGAGGGCTGTCCCGTTTACGACAGGTGGTATCTAATGTCTGTTGGGCCATTAGAGATAGGTATATAAGATCTTTATGTGTGACAGTGTCCGTACCAGCCTGAGTGACAGCTTTCGTTCCGACCCGCCTAAGTGCTTAGTTTTTTTCGGTCACGCGTCTTGGGCCCTTAAAACCACAGAGAAAAGCGGCAAATTTAATCTCAATCCTCTTCACATTTCAAAGTCGGCCGTAAAATAATAAATTATGCATGACAATCTGAACAGCAAGCAGAAAGGTGCAGGATTACGGGGATCGCGTGTCTAAAGCGGTCGTAAAGTTCATTAACTGGCGTCAGTGGGACCGGGGACGGTCACTGTCGACACAGGCCGACTGTAAGCGGCTCATGAGCCTCTGAACAGCCGGTGTATGTCTGGAGTCTCGCCGGTAGCCGTCGGGGCTGCCAGAGGTATGGCCCACGGGCGCCTGTCAACGGATCAACAGCGGCAGCCAACGAAAACATGTCGCCACGAATACACAGCGCCGTTCAACATTTCTGGTGGTGATTGCTATCCATTTTATTTCAAAATAGCACCCAATTACCCACTCCCGAGGGACGCCTGGGCCGGAATGTCGTCGCTCGCTGTCGAGCCGTCCTGCTGTATCGGCATGCGTCTGTGACGGGCGGTTCGGTGGAGCTCCGCCCGTCCCTCCGCCAGTCCTGACGTCAGCGGCCGGCCGGCCGGACCGGCCGCGGCTGGTGGTGGACACTGGGGGCCCGAGGGTCGCTGTGCGGCCGCCGACCGGCCCTCTGCCGCGGCGCCGAGTGGCGACACCTCGCAGAGTCTGAGCGGAGCCGGGCCCGATCGGCCGGCGTCTCCCGAGCCGCTGCTGTCCAGAGGCCGCCGCTCAGTCGCGTGGACAGAGGCACGGGCCGACGGCGAGTTTTTATCAAGTGACTGCGTGAGGCGACTCGGGTGCCTGGTGAGCGGTTGCGTTTCAGTGTTTTACGAGTTGCAGAATGTGTCCTCGGCGGCCGGGCTCTGCGTATGCGTATCGATAAACAGACTGGCCCTGGCTGTCAAAGGATCTGGGACGCGTCTTCCTGGAGTGAGAGGCCTTTTCCGACAGTCGGAGCTCGGACAGACTACCAAGTGCCTAACGGTGAAAACGGTGCCCTAAGGACGGAGTGCCTTTTGAACAGCGAACCTGAGCGTAATCGGTCAGAATTGACTGCGTGTGCCTGTCGAACAGTGCCGATCTCCAGTTGGTCGAAACCAAGTGTCTTTCATTGAAACCGCAGAAACAAGACTGCATATTGCAATAGAGTTTGTCGGACGAAATACGGGGTGCTTGTAAGACAGGAGTGTTGAGTGACTGTGAAGTGAGACTCGGTCGGTCAGAGACGGCGCATTCCTGATCCATGCTCACAGGTTCCTTTGTGTTCCGTGATACCGGTTGCTCATTGTGTTCTCATCTTACCTGCAGCTGCCCTCGGTTCTACGGGGCTACATATAGCGGGTATAACTAGTGAGCCCCAGCAGTCCCACATCACCCACAGAATCTCCGGTCCATAATCCCGCTGTACCCAGTTCTGGTCCCGTCTCCAGCGGCCCAACCATGTCTCAGCAGCTTTGAGCTTCGATTCCTTTCCCAGCAGCCCGGGTCTCTCCTCTTGCTGTCCCACCAGCTCCGACCCCTTCCCAGCAGCTCCAGCTCCTCCTCTCATAGTCCCAGCAGCTCTGGTCCCGTCTCAGCAGCTACTTCCGGCCATCCCAGCTCCGCACGGCTCACGGCCGTCTGCTGATCGTTTAGCGGCGGCCGGACCTGCTGAGCGTGACTGAGCAGCCGGCGCAGGATGGCCGTGCCGGTACCCAAGGGCGAGGACTTTGGCCGCCGGCAGCGGTCGCGGCGCACGCTGGTGCTCGCCGCCGTGTTCCTCGTCTACCTGGCGCTCGGCGGCGTCGTGTTCGGCCGACTCGAGGTCTACGAGAAGGAGCGCACCGTGCTGCGGACAGAACCCGCCTGGCGCGCGCTGAAAGGTGGGAAGGGTCGCCCGTGCGCAGGACGGTGTGAATCAGATATTTTTTTTATCATACCTAGGCCTCAGGTTAACCGGCGACCTCTGAGGTCAGGTCAAGTGCCTGAAGGCACGGGCTCGGTTTTTAGTAAATCATTTCGCCCAAAATAGTTACAGAGCCGTGAATTTAGCACCATCGTGTTTATCTTGAGCAGGCGCGTCGAATAATAGGTATACTTTTTATTCGGGTGAGGTCATCTTAAGGTGTTGACGTCAAGGTGAAGGTGACGTCAAGGTGGTCAAGGTGAAGTATGAGACACTCAGGTCACGAAGTTGGTCAAAGAAGGTCATATTGCATATCATTCGATTCAGCAGGTCTTTCCGAGTCCATTGATGGCTTTTTCGACTCGCTAGCTCAATTGGATCGGGAGTTAGGTATTGACGAAAAAGTCTTATGACCTTTGTGACCTTTGTGCAAGGTCACTAACGCAAAATCTTAACATCATAGATAAGGTACGTACCTGTGCTTGAGGTAGTTTTAGATCATTCCTGATGCCAAACTAACAGTCCGATATCAGTCTGAGTCAATACACGATCTGAGACCTTGGAAGGTTACCATTTACCAAGCCAGGTAACTTTCATCTCCCTGTGATGATCCTTTGGCATAAAAAATAAATTTGGCAATAAAGAAATGTTAACCAAAAAACTGAGCGCGTTGCGAAGTTGCGACATATTAGGGTCGTGCAAAGGTTCACTTATGACGTCATAGGTCAGTGACCTGAACTGACCTGACCTGAAAATGCTGTTGGTGTCACAAGCTCTGGCTTGAAGAAAGGGTCGATTTTGCCTAATTTCAGTCATCTTTAGCCAGCGCATTTCAAGCAACCGCAGAAAAAATCGTTATAGGGTGGCAACCGTCTCCCCCTCTTCGACCGAGGATGCCTAATGCTTATTGCTTAGACCTATGTTAGTCGAACCCAATATTTTTTTACTACTCAATCGAACCCCCCCCCCTCCCCACAAAAAAATAACCCATTGCCTTTATGGCTTACATTTAACCCTCGCCCGCACATGCCATTTTCCCATCCTAGAACGCACATGGGGGGGGGGGGGTTGCCACCCCCCCGCGCCATTTCGTTCCTGTTGGAGATAGAGCTTAGCAGTAAAGACCAAAAAGATTCTTTGGGAAGAGACGAATCCAATGATACCCAGTTTTACCTTCTCAGGTCAGTCATTGACCTTCCAGGTCAGGTCAAACTAAAAAATGTTGCTGTTTTGGGTCACCGTTGGATATCAAGTGCGCTGCTTATCAAATACCGATGACGATGCTGTTTTCTGGTGCCAAGCCAGCTAGAACCTCTTTGTCACACTATCCGACCAGAATTTTGCTGCTGAGGTCATTTCAGGTCAAGTTAGGTCAAGGTCAATTATATGTGTTTGTATGTCTGTGTGTGTCTGTGTGTATACTGATGTGTGCACCGATTGTTTTTGGGTCTATATCACATGAAATCACAGAGCCTCGGCTAAGGAATTTTGACTGGTGGGCCACTTGGGCAGCGACATGGACTGACCTTCGTAGCCATAGCCCCCCCCCCCCAAAAAAAAATCGATTTCTCACCAGATTTCGGCCACTTTATTCTGCAAAAAAAAAAACGTCAGGATGGCATTAAAAATGTAAAAAACGGGCCTCGACCCCTCCCCCCGACTCTTCAGAGAGAGGAGAGAGTAGAGAGTAGGGACCCACAACCCTCTCAGTGGTGATACTCCGGCGGTGCACATAAAATCGCACAAAGTAAGCACAAAATATTGTCGTAGATAAAACTTTGGACGATAACTTACGACCGGTCGGATGTTAAAAATCAGCGAGCCCTGAGTGGATCGCTCGCCGACTACATTTGCCATATAGCCTCGTTGCTGGTGCGCCCTAAAACACCAAATCGCCGACTACAACTCTTTTCGGAGTTGTAGTCGGAGATTCGGAAGCGGTCGGACGGGATCGGGCGTTGTCGGGTGGATCGGGAGGAATTGTGAACAGCACAAGTGCAACTTTAGTAAAGTGAGTTGTAGCAGGAACCCCAAAAGGGGGTTGTAGCAGCAGCCCCAACATCTCTGAAAATGATCATTAAGCATATTGGTGTCGCATGGAAAAGAATTGACTCAAAGGCCCAAGCGCACTGTGCAACCCTAATATTTTTCTAAAAAACTAAGTTATGTACGCTTTTGGTGAACAGTGTCCCAAACTTCGGATTTCTCTTTGGTGTCTGAGTGGAAAATTCTAGCCACCCAAAATGTGAGAGTGGATAATTATCCATTCTTATTCTTGAGTGTCATCTTCAGCCCAAATGAGAAATTTTTGGAACGCTGACTGTGAACGGTTCGAAATTCGTCCGACTGGTCAGATGTGTGACTGCAAGCATCATACCGGTCGTGAAGACGCATAATATCGCTTGCAGACTTCAATCTGCTGGAAGTCGCCGACACTACCTCTAGTTTGACTCTGGCTTATATCGTGTATATCGACGGGCCGTCTGAGATCGCTCGCAGGCTTATACCCGACCGTCTGAACTGGTCTGTTCTTTATTACGAGCGAGCGAGCGCAGCGAGCGAAGTGAGTCTTTTCAATACCAGTAAAACGCCTTTTGGGCGAAGAACGAGCGAGCGAGATAGTGAGCCCTGCACGTGCGGAAGGGCGAGAGGGTACTTCCAACGGGCTTGTGCAAAGCACCCTTCTAACCGGTCACTAGCGGTGTGCCAAATTTGAACGCAATCGGTCCAGCCGTTCCTGAGATATGGAAGCGGCATTCTGCACGTGCGCACGTGCAAACGGGGTCCAAAATGACTTATGCACGGCACCCTACTAACCGGTCCCCAACCGTGTACCAAATTTGAGCGCAATCGGCCCAGCCGTTCTCGAGATCTGGAAATGCCCCCTGCACGTGCGCACGTGCAGTAGCACCCTAACCGCAACACATGGGAATGCATTGCCTGGTGGGTGCGTACCTGTATGCCAAGTTTCAGCGAAATCGCCCCAGTAATTACCGAGTTACTGAAATGGGAGCAAATTAGGCACCTCTTATTGTTGTATTTTGCACGTGCAGTGGGGGTCACTCACATAGATGAAGAGTATCCGACCTTTGGTAGAAAGGATGCAGCTACCCTATAAAAATGACCGCAAGACAATCGCTCTAGCCGCTGCTGAGATATGGGCCTCTCAAAATCATTACTTTTGCAAAACTGCTTGAACACCCTTGACTTTTCACGTGGCACGTGCCACGACGGTCACTGAGATGTATCAAAAGTAGTCAATTACGGGGTAGAAGGGATGGGGCTACCCAGCAAAAAAGACCGCAGGCCAATCGGTCCAGCGGTTGCTGAGATATAAGCCTCTCAAAAGCGTTACAGGCCGGGCCGGGCCGCTCATACTGAGATTTTTCCGTTATATTGAAAAGACTTCGCTTCGCTCGCTGCGCTCGCTCGCTCGTAATAACGGAAAAATCTCAGTATGAGCGGCCCGGCCCGGCCCGGCCTGTAACGCTTTTGATAGGCTTATATCTCAGCAACCGCTGGACCGATTGGCCTGCGGTCTTTTTTGTTGGGTAGCCCCATCACTTCTACCTCGTAATTGACTACTTTTGATACATCTCAGTGACCGTCGTGGCACGTGCCACGTGAAATGTGAAGGGTGTTCAAGCTGTTTTGCAAAAGTAGTGATTTTGAGAGGCTCATATCTCAGCAGCCGCTTGGACGATTGGCTTGCGGTAATTTTTGTAGGGTAGCAGCATCCCTTCTACCAAAAATAGGATACTCTCGATGCATGTGGGTCACCCCCAGTGCACGTGCAAAATACAACAATAAGAGGTGTCAAATTTGTTCCCATTTTAATAACTCGGTTATTACTGGGGCGATTTCGCTGAAACTTGGCATACAGGTAGGCACCCACCAGACAATGCATTCCCATGTGTTGCGGTTAAGGTGCTACTGCACGTGCGCAAGTGCAGGGGGCGCTTCCAGATCTCGAGAACGGCTGGGCCGATTGCGCTCAAATTTGGCACACGGTTGGGGACCAGTTGGTAGGGTGCCGTGCAAAATTCAGTTTGGACCCCGTTTGCACGTGCGCACGTGCAGAATGCCGCTTCTAGATCTCAGGAACGGCTGGGCCGAGTTGCGTTCAAATTTGATAAACCGCTAGCGACCGGTTAGAAGGGTGCTTTGCGCAAGCCCGTTGGAAGTACCCTCTCGCCCTTCCGCACGTGCAGGGCTCACTATCTCGCTCGCTCGTTCTTCGCCCAAAAGGCGTTTTACTGGTTCGTAGTTTTTCTTGTAACCGACTGGTCTGCGACAGATGCTTATGTGACTGCAACCACTCGATCGATCGGAAAGCTTGCAAGAACTTTCGCAGACCTCGATCGGCTGGAAGCCGCCGACACTATCTGTAATTGACAGAGGCAGACGTCTTTAACGATTATTGCATAAAATTTAAAGCCTCGGTCACACTTCACCGAATTGGACCAACGGACGAGAAACGGACGAGAACTGTCAGCGTCCGGTGATGTCCGTTTGTTTCCGTTGGACGTCCGTTTGTCATCCGTTAATATCCGTTCCATATCCGGTGGTGTCCGGTTGAGCACACCGGACACCACTGGACATGGAAGTACTGTGACGTCACATGGAAATTGAAGTAAAAATCATACAGCAAAGACGTAGGTGGTGGATTTTTTTAAGTTGTGGGTACTATAGTCCACTCAAGAGGATATTGCAAACAATAGATTGAAGTTTTTTCACAAGAATATGTTTCACCGATGGGTACTTTACAGCCTGAAAATATACGATAAGATCTGCTATTTCAATTTCAAAAGTGAAAATGTGAAAACTTCGATTTTTCGGAATATTACTGGTGGGCCAAATCTTTGAGGCTGGTGGGCCATTTCGGGTCACTGGTGGGCCATTTGGCCCACCAGTTAACATGTTAGCCGAGGCCCTGTGAAATCATGATCTGAGAAGCATTTACCAAAAATGCAGTCA